ATTTTCATATTACTCTATGTTTACAGTAACCTTACAGCAACCTTACAGTAAGCTTACGGGAAGCTTACAACAACCTTACTGTGTAAGCTTACCTTAGCTTTACTGTGTAAGCTTACTGTAATGGCGGAAGTTTTAAGATGACCTCAACTTTACTGTAGGCTTACACGGTAACCTTACAAACCCTACAGATATCCTAATAGTAACCTCACAGCAAGAAGTCGTACTATGTGGGTTGACTATTATCAAATAAATATTTATTTGTATCAAATAATTATTATTTGAGTCAATTATATGGTATTTTTGTTTCAAATACAGAAATTATTGGTTCAAATACAATTTATTTAATTCGAATAAAAATTATTTGGTTCAAGTAAATATTTATTTGACAATAGTCAAGTAATCGAGTGTATTTGAATCAAATATTTTTTTTCTAGTTGAACTATTTGAAATTTTTTTTGTAAAAAATGACATAAATATAATTTACTAGATTTTTTGCAATTTAAAGATTAAAAATTCGTTCTCAAAATTGTTTACATTCTTTGATGTTTTTTTTTTTAAATTTTCAAGGAAAAAAAAACGAAAATCATATAGTAAAAGTACCCACAAATTTGATTTTCATGATGAAAATTATATAAAAAAAAAATCCCAAAAATTCATGGTTTTTGCATTTCTGTTTAGTGTTTTTTACACTGATGAAATTCACAAAGTTAATTTGGAAAAAAAATTTTTTTTTTTAAAAACGGAGTTATTTTTTTAAAAAATTGAAAATTTTTTGTTTTTACAGCGGGACCAGGCTTAAAATTTTTTAAAAAAATTAAAGAATGCAAACACTTTTAAAAATAAAATTTTAATCTTTAAATTGCACAAAATCTGTACCTAAAAACATTGTATTAAAAAAAATAAATAAACATTAAATTGATGTATTTTTAAAAAAATTTATGAGCATTGAAAAAAAAATCTTTAAAAACCTGAAATTTTGAAAAATTCATATTTCGTAAAACGGCTATTCTAATAATTATATAGATGCAATTAAAATTGTATTGGAGAATATTTTTTGAAAAATCACCTCATTGTGTTTATAAACCGTAATTTTTGCATAAGAAGTATTTATCAATTTGGAACGCACCATTGAACTGTTTACAACATATTATATATATATATATATATATATACACAGGAACTCGTGATCGCATTTTTCTCATAAAAATTTTTCTGAGACAAATAATACTAACATTGCGAAAAGCATGTTAATTTTACATATATATATATCAACATATTATGTCATAATCTCAATATTATAGTTTAAAACATCTTATTTCAGAAAAATATTGTATTTCTAGAAATTTCAAACATGAAATTAAAAAAATGACTGAAGAATAAACAATAAAAAAATTAAAATAATTTTTTTAAATTATATACTATTATTATTATATAATATTATATTATTATTATTATTATTATTGCTTAAAAATATTTAAAAATTTTAACATATAATAAATTTTTCTAAAATTAAAAACTTTTTTTTACGTCATTTATATTTTTTTTTAAATTTTTGACACTTTCCGTCAAATTTAAATAATTAATTTATTAAGTATAAATAAATTTATAAAGCAATTGGTCTTCTTAACACTAGAACTACCGATGGTACATTTTGTCCCGCGGCGCACGGTTTTTCTTGTGTATCTTTCGTTAATGACTATAGCTAGAGGGCTAAAATTTTCTGACTTTTCTTTTTTGTTGAGTTTAATCAGTATACCAAATTTCAGATTTTTATGTTTATTAGAACCTGAGATCTAAACCGGCTAGAATTTTATGAGTAAGTTAATTTAAGGTGGTTTAAACAGAAATAATACATAGTCGCACATATTTTTTCAAAATAAAGTAATTTTGCCCTGCATTTTACCCATTTTTTTTATCTGTTTTTGTCTATTTTTTAAAAAAAGAGGTACAACTTTTTTTCTTTTGATCGCTATTAAAAAATGTCTAAATAAAAAAGTGTGTATTTTTACTCATGTTTTTCAAAAAAAAAAAAAAAATTGAAAAAAATTTTTTTTTGGAAAATAAAATTTTTTGGAAATTTGAAATTAAAAAAAATATTGTGTAACTTTGTTGTTTTCACTCCAATCAAAAAATGTTAAAAAGAAAAAGTGTTTCATTTTACTCACATTTTTCAAAAAAAAAAATTGAAAAAAATTTTTTTTTGAAAAATAAAATTTTTTGAAAATTAAAAGTTTGAATAATTTTGTTGTTTTTTGACGAAATTGTCTGTCCAATGAACTCAGGCGAAATTTTGGTGCACTTAAAGTGCAAATCAAATTTGAGGTCGATTACTTAAAATTTACTCAAGTTATCGTCGAGACAAATTTTTTGTCTACAGACATACAAACATAAATACAGACAAACATTTGTTTAAAACCTATTTTTTTTTTGGCATCAGGGAGTCTTGAAACATGGAGATTCACAAGAATTAGAGGTAAAAAACATAAATGAATAATGGGACAAAATGTACCAGTGGTAGTTCTATAGGTATGCAGGATCTTCGGTAGTTCTAGTGCTAAAGTATATTTATCATTATCGTAAATTGCTAGTAATAATGCAAAAAAAAAAATAATAAAAATATTGCAGAAAAAATGTAAATTGTTTTTTTCTAGTTTAAAATAATAATATTTAATATTTATTTAGTATTTTTATATTAATAATAATAATTATTATTATTATTAATATAAAAGTACTAAATAAATATTAAATATTATTATTTTAAACTAGAAAAAAACAATTTACATTTTTTCTACAATATTTTTATTATTTTTTATAATAATAATAATAATAATAATTATTATTATTATTATTATTATTATTATTATTATAAAAGTACCATAAATAATTATAAATAATTTATGAAAATATTAATAATAATAATAATAATAATAATAATATTGTAATCTTTTTTAGTTGAAGAAAAAGAAGAACTTGCGAATCTTTAGTGTTACTAATATTCCAATTAATTGGTGGTTTTTACCATTTTCAGCTATCAGTTTTCCCTAACATCGAATATCGATAATATAATATGCACTGTGGGTGTTTTTCAAGGTTTTTTTTGCCTCTATAACTTAAAGCGAATCACTGTTTGCTTCATTCAACTGTGAATCGTAGACTTTGACGTTTTTATTTTATCATATATTGTTCTTTTTTTTTTTTTTTTTTGATTTCAAATGCAGTCCTTTTTTTCAAAGAAAAACAATACACATGACAAATATATATACGTAATAACAAGTTATTATTTGAAAAGAAAAATATTGCATATTTTCAAAAAAAAAATTGAAATTTTTTTTTTTTTAATAATTAATAACCTTTTTTTATTAATTAATTATTTAACCAAGTTATATGCTAACAACAAATTTAGTATTTTTTTTTAAATATATAAATTCTTATCAGTTAATAATTAAAAAAAATTATATATTTGTCACGTGTAAAATAATTATAAATTTAAATTATCTAATAGGTTTTATTTTTTTTCGATAAAAAAATTTTATATAATATTCTTGAAAATTCGTATATAATTTCTATTTCTATTTATTTTATTTTCTCCAAAAGTTTCTTTTATGAATTTTCAATATTAGTCAATTATTATGTTTATTGTGTATATGCTCTTGTTTATATTACAAGAGAATAATTAAAATTTAATTTGAAAAATAAATATTAACTATAATAATTTCCGTATTCATTCATTCATTCCGTCTGTCCACACTTGAAGTTAGTCGTATTTTGTTCCTTTTGTTTTTCTAAAATTTTGACAATTCTTGATTTCGTAATATTTTATGGTTAACACGACGGATATTTTTATTTATCGCCATTAATTAAGTCATATACTAAGTGACAGTTTAAATTAAAAAAAAAATATTGTTCATTGTGTGCAGCACCAGTATATTTCCTACTTGGTATTTATAGAAAAAAAGTTTCAATTATAATATAATTTTTATTATTATTTATAAATTTATTATATTATATATACATTTTTTTAAATATAATGATTATTACAGATAATTAGAACATTTTAACTTATAATTATTATTTATCTTTCATTATTTTTTCATTATTCATTATTATTTATTATATATTATTATTCATAAATTTATTATTATTAATTATTAAATTGTTATATTTTTTTATCTATAAACAATATAAAAATAGTTTGCTTTTTTAAAAAATTTTCTATTTGATTTTAATTTTTAATTTAAGTTTAAAGTTTAAAACATTACAAATTTTTTTTAGGTTTTATTTTTTCAAAATTTTTAAATATTTTTTAATTGCTTAATACTTTTTAAAATATAATTAATAATTTTCAGTTAATTTAAACTTCTTTTTGATTACATAATTTTTTAATATTTATTAATTATCAGTTAATTAAATTTTTTGAAAAAAAACATAAATTTAAAATTTTCATTTGCAACGAAATATTTATAGAAAATACAAAAAAATATTTAGCATAATTAATTTTTTGTAATTTAAAAGATTATAAAAAATTCATCGAACATTGACTTTATCAAAAATATTTATTTCTAAAATTTTAATATTTATATTTTAAAATTTTTACTTAAATTTATTTATTTATATAACATCAAACTCATTTTTTTCTGTGTATAAATAAATGATAACGTGAAAATTAGAAATATACCTATTATTAATTTAATACTCCACTGATGCAGAATTATTATTATTATTATTAATATTATTATTTTAAAATAACCATTGCAATGAAAGTTGGACGCGCGCTTGCGCGCGTGTAATTTTGCTAGTGAAAATTTTTAATTTCAAAAATTTTAAATAATCGTTGAAAAAATTATACATAATTTCTTTTTTTTAGATTTTTGTAAAATTATTTATATTATTTATACAATTTTATTTTAAATATCGACATCGTTTTTGTATCTCAATTTTAAAGCAATTCAGACATAACTGTATGTATGAAGTATTATTATTATTATTATTATCATTGTTTACAATTACTTATATACGCGCCAGGAGAATATTATTTTGTTGAAAAATTCAGTTTTTTTCCTTTTTTTAAAGTAAAATTTTTAACTAATACTTATAAAATTAGAAAAAATTATATAAATGTTCATTTTTAATGCAGTAACAATATTTAGGTACGTATGAAAAATTCATGACTTTTGTCAATCTTGTAAATATATTGAAAATATTATTGACGTTTGAGAATTCTGTCATTTTTCAAAAGTAAGGTTATGTTTCCATATATGACCAAATTTTTAAATATTTTATAACTATTTATTTAAAAATTAAAATGTATTTTTAAAAATGACAAAAGAAAATATTTTATTATTTATTACATAATATTTTTTTCATCAAAGTGACGCGAAAATATGACAATTAAAAAAATATATATTCAGGTGCGTAAAAACAATAGAGATTGAAAATTAGGTCATTCGATGAATCGGAAAATATAATGTGTATTTAAATTTCATATTTGAAATCAAATTATTCTAATTTTGTATATTAATTGAATGGTGTGTGTGTGTGTAAATTAGATCAAGTGGAGATGATTGACAATAATAATCATTTTTAAAGACATTAAAATGGTTAAAATAATAAAAAAAATTTTAATAATAAGAATGAATTTATTAGAATATTTTTCTAAATTTTTATTTTTTGACAATATATTTTTTATAAATATTTTTCCAAATTTTTCCTTTTCTTTGAAATTCTAAATTTTTATTTTTTGAAAATATATTTTTGAAAAATATTTTTCTAAATTTTTTCTTTTTAAAAGTATTTATTACAAATAGGTTTTATAAATATTTTTTACAAATATCTTTTTAAATTTTTACGTTTTAAAAATATTTTTTTAAAAATATTTTTCTAGATTTTTATTTCTTGAAAATAGTTTTTATAAATATTTTTAAAAATTTTTATTTTTTGCAAATTATTTATTATAAAATATTTTTTTTAAAATTAATATAATATATTTAAATATCAATGAATATTTGTTTTAAAGAAAACTATCAAAATGTGTTAAAAATTATAAAAAAAAGTACAAAAAACAAAAAAAAAATTGTTAAAAATTAAAAAAAAATTTCAAGCTTAAAAATAATTTCTTTTCCTCATGGTAGATTTCATTATGCATTTCTAGGAGATCTAAGACAAATTCCATTGGTTAGTTATTTTTAATGCAAGGAAAAATCAGGTCACTATTCATATATATAAATTACCTCAAGTGCAACATTTTTAGTTCAATCTCTCAGAAAACATCGTTTTCATTTTCTATTATTCGAAAGTCAAGTAAAAATTTTTTTTCCACGTTATATTTAATTTTTAATTTAAAAAAGAAAAAACTAAAATTGTAATATTGTTAAATTGAAATTCCCGCTTAAAGTATCACCATCTCCTAGCGACGTCTGTTGGATATTTTCCATTTTATCGACAGCTAAATTTTTTTTGATAATAAAGGAGAAAACCTTTACCAAAGGTTATTTGAAAATTATGAATTTTTTCATTTTTATTGAAAAAATATTTGCAAAACATTTTTATTTTCAAAAAAAAAAAAATAAAATAAAACATAAATATACTAAATTTAAAAAAAAAAAAAAATAATTATTATAGAATATAATAATTTCTAATTACATATATTAATGAGGAAATAAAAAAAGCCTTATGTATAATTAAAAAGGGAAAAAAAATTTACTGTATAATTAATAAATAATAAAAACTATAAAATATAAAACTATAAAATTCGCATAAGTTATAACAAAATCAATAATGACCTTATAAATTAAAATTTTTAAAAATTATTTTCAAATTTAAAAGCTATTTTTACAGAAAAAAATATTTTTAAAATAAAAAACTATTTTAAAAAAACAAACTTTTTTTAAAATAAAAATCTGTTTTTCAATTTTAAAATCTGACCTTCTTATAAATAAATAAAAAAACAAGTAAAAATTATTCTTAAAAAATTTTTAATTTTAAACTCTGATATTTTGATTGAAATTAGTCATTCGAATTTTCCAAGACATGTCAAGTTTTATCTGTTGATGAAGTGGAAATACTTACAACATATATATATATATATATTGAAATTTATTATCTCTCTTTGAATTCAAATCAGTGCAACGATTAAATTTACTTGATTAATGAAATACATATCGTACAATGTGTGTTTGTGTGACGTGCTAACTATTAATGTGGATTAATTAGCAACTTTTCTGAATAATACAAGGTCAAAACGATTTACGACTGAGAGTTGCATTTTTATTGACACCTGAAGATGCATTGACCTTAAGTTTTCATTTTCACTTTACAATCACATGTGAGTTATGCAATTACATAAAGTCTAGTTGATATATATATATATAATATCAGTGATAACGTGAAAAGTGTGTAGTTAAAAAAGTTTTTTGGATTTTTTTTTAAAAAGTTTTTCAAAATATTTCACAAGATTTTTTTTATCAATATTTCATTGGTTATTATTTTTATTTTTTTTTCGGTTTTTTGTTTGTTTTACTTTTTATTTACAAATAATTTATTTGATAATTTTTTTTTTTTAAAGTTGTTTAATAATTTTTTTTTCATGTTACACACAGAGAAATATTTTATTTGAATCAAATATAATATATTTGAGTTAAATAAACGTATAATTGTCTCAGAGCCTATACTAGCCAATTTATTTTGTGTAAATACATTTTTTTATTTTAAATCAAATAAAAATTTATTTGAATCAACTAAATATTTCTTTAAATCAACTAAATATTTATTTAAATTAAATAAATATTTATTTGAATCAAATAAATAAATTATTTGGCTCTGAGACAAATATATTATTTCTCTTGGTGTACATTTTCATGTTTTCATTTTATAATTAATAAAAAATTTTCCCGTTATTTCTTAAGGAAAAATCAAATAAATAATGTAAAAAAAAATAGTCCAAATTTCGTATTTTTAAAATTTGTTTAACGACTTTAAAATAAAAGAAATTAATAAAAAATAAATAAATATTATGTTCATTGTATTTAAAATAATTTATAAAAATATAATATTTAATAATTAATATATTTAATTAATAAAATCAATGTTTCAATATAATACATAAAGGTCATTTTAAGTGAAATTTTCATTAAAAAAAAACAAAAATTATTTTAATGCAAAACAATTTTTTTTAAATCTTTATGACAAATAAAAAAATACGCATTTTTAAATTTTTTATTTAATAAAAATTGGAATTAAAACAAAATTTTTGAACTCGATTTGAGAGAAGTCACTTTTTAGACTTAATTTTAATTTTTCAGATGCTTCCGTTTAGGTTGTGTTATATATTTTTTAATAAATATTTAATATTTTTAAAAATAATCGAACAAACATATATATATTTTTCATCTGAAACTCGTGTTTTTTCTGACCACGTTAAATTAAAAAAAAATCGTAACTTAATATCATAATTTTTATCAGATAAAAAAATATGAATTTTCTTGTTTTTCATTAAGATTTCGAAAAAAATGTTTCAGTCAAAAAAAATTTTTTTAATAATAATCTCACGTGGAATTGTTTATAAAACTTAATCGGGTTAGAATTTCTCAAACGGATCAGCTGAAATTAAAAAATTATATTTTCAATATCAAATCTCTTTTTACTCCTACTATGATAAAAATAAGTTTTTGATAATATTAGACAAAAAAAAATTTATTTTTAAAGTTGTAAATAATTAAAAAAATTTTTTTAAATCATTTTTATAAAGTTTGTACTTTTGGATTTTTTTTTCTTTAATGTTGCACTTTCAGTACAAAAAATAATATGAAAATCTCTTTTTTTGGTTTTCGAGATATAAATTAATTAATTAACAAAAGTAAATAAAAAATAAAATATTTTACAACAAAATAAAGTTAGCATAATTCTTTTCTTATAAATGGAAATCTTTTGAAATTCCACATCCAAAAAGACCAAATTAAGTGTATTTTGGATTTTTAATAAAAAAAAAATTGCAATAACAATAAATTGTTTACTAAAAATCCAAATAGGGGAGACCGGGGCTGAAAGTGCCGATTTTGAGAAAACTAAAGAAAATACTAGTAAAATGACAACTTTTTATTTTACTTCATAGTCTATCTTTTGTGAAATTTAGTGTAGTTTTTGAATCCAGTATTATTTTTTGATAATATTGAATAGTTTTTTTGTAAAAATTGATTTTCTGCAGCGAGGCGAAGCGACACATCGAGCTACGCCCTGGGGAGAGTTGTGCCGACGCCTGGGTCGGTTGTGCCGCTCAGATTTTGTAGTTGCTTAACTTGAAGCAAATGATTTTACGTGTAAGAAATAAAATAATTATTTCCAATATATGATTTAATATTATTTATTAATATATTTTTATAAACATTTAAAGGTTTTTGTGAACAATCTTAGGATTTCTAGATTTTAGTACCACTTTTAGTAGGTAAAAATAAACAATTTCTGACTTATATTCTATAATTACATAGTTAGTCAGTCACTTAAAATATAGTTTTCGTAATAAGTATTTTTATTATAAACATTCAAAAGATTTTTCCAACAATCGTAACACTTATAGATTTTTATAAATAAATAAACATTTCTGACTTAAATTTTACAATTACATAATTAATCAGTCTTTTAAAATATTTTTTCAAATAATTATTTGTATCGTTAATTAAGTGTAAAAACTCTACTTTCTGATTAATAAATAGTTTTTGAGACGTAAATACTTATTCCGAATGCGATTTATTGAAATTACAATTGACACACATATAACTGACCCTTTTTTTTACACTTCACACATTTTCAATGTGCCCAGTTTTTGCAAACTATGCATTGAATCAACTTTTCTCTTGATTTCGGGTTGGAATAACTATTCGAACAAACGAGGCAATAGTATAGACTATGGTTATGTAGCGATTGACAGCGGCACAACCAGCCCCAAGCGAAAGGCACAATTAACCTCGTTGCGTCAACGCTCACTTTTTATCATATATTAAAAAAGTAGATAAATAAAATGTTAAGATCAATACACCATTGAATCCCTCGATAAATTTGGATCATTTTAAAAAAAAATACGTATCGATATCTTTAAAAATGCAAAAAATAGACCAAAAAGTGTAAACATGAAAACTTGTACGTAAGTGACGCCAAAGCACCAAATTACTAACAGCTAATTATTCCATAAAGCAAACAAAATCAAAATAGTTGCCAAAGATGCGCATAAGTAAAACAATACTTCTCTCACTTCCACTTTTCAAAAAAAAAATTTTCTTTTTGAGATATTCCTATCGGCACAACTTACCCCCGGCACTTTCAGCCCCGGTCTCCCCTAATACATTCAATTTGACCTTGTTGGATGTGGGAATTGAGAATTTTTTTTCAGTTTGATTGTTTCAGTAATTTTCCTCATTTTCCTCAAGAATTTCATCAGTTTTCAAGAAATAATGGGAGAAATAATTTTTCAATTTTTTATATTTTTTACATTCAGTAATTTTTTGTTTTAATTATTATTATTATAGTTATTTAATTAATTTTTATTCAAAATAAAAAATCTAAAAACCAAAAATATTCCAAAAACAAAAAATTATAGGTATTTATTATTTTTATTAAAAATTTGTTACAGAATAATTTTTCCTGATATTCAAAAAATAAAAGTGTACACCTGAAATTTTAATTGTGTCACTCTTATCAAAACAGACAAATATATACTATATACGTGTGCGTGAGTGTGTACCGTATATTATCATTTATTAATCAATGAAAAGTGGTCATGTATTCAAAATTAGAATGTTCCATTTGATGACGTAGCACAACATTCATTAAGACTTATAATATACTTGTGTGCTCAGTTATTACATTCTATTGGGAGTGTCAAGTTGTCTAAAAGATTATAACATACAAAGTCAAGTATACAGTGTATTGCCTATTATCATTATATAGGCTTTTTATATATACATCCCTCTTTATTTATGTTTCGTTTATAAAAATTGATTAACCCATTGATAAACTTAGATTGGCTATATCAGTTTTCATCATGGCACTCAGACACTTTTTGCGGAATGTACATAGCGTTTGTCCAGTTGCAAATAGCACACTGGAGAAGTCATCAATATTCTTGTGTAGAAAATTAAAAAATCAAGAAATTACATTTTGTCAAATGTCATCATCATCATCATCAAATAAAATAATGGATATGGTTGTGCCAAAAGAGGAAGTTCAACGTTTTGTCAGTGAATGTATGAAAAAAGCTGGTACAACATCCGAAGACGCTGATACAGTTGCTCATCATTTGATGATTGCTGATTATCGTGGACACTTTAGTCATGGATTAAATAGAATGACAATGTATGTTCATGAAATTAATGAGAGAATTACTGATCCTACAGCAAAACCGGAAGTTGTCAATGATTTTCAGGTTAGATATTATGCACTTTTTTTTCATTTTTCAATATTGATGAGAGAAAACATTATTTAGTTTGTTGATTAATATATATAGTGATTTTAAAATTTTACCAGATAGTTGTATTAACTTTTATAATAGAATTTTTCACCGTTAGTAGAGAGATGTGTTTGGAAAGTAGAATTGAAAATAGAAATTTTCCCAACACTGTGAGACAAACTAATTTGAATTAAAAAATTGTGGACAGAAATAGAAAGTAATGCATCTAATGTAGTATAACAGAAGAAATAGTTTTTTAAGTTCTAATAGAGAGTTTATTTATATTTAATTTAAGATTTGATAAATAAATTTATCATTATGTTGAAAAAAATAAATATTTTATTGTATTGTCATGAAGGTCCATGTAAAAAAAACATTTTTGTCCTTCTGTTTTTACAAAAAGACTTTTCTTGTTATTTTCAAACATATATGGGCGATTTTCCAAAAAGAGGTCATTTTGTGTTATATTATCTATAAACATTCTTTTCATTGAATTATTTGCTTTAGACAAATATTTCATTTAAAAATCCCTTAAATATGATACTTTATAAAAAACCAAAATTTTTTTTACATAAATTTAGTAAAAAAATAACATTTAATAGCTGAAAATTGTATTTCGGTATGTACTAATCTCTGAGTACCAAACTTTCAAGTATTATAATAACAGAAATATTTTTAATTAATCAAATAATATTCTTCTAGTTTAGCGATTACGCCATCATATAAACTGTTATTAAAAAACTATAAAATGCGTGCACTTTATTAAATCGGATGCTGTAGCACGTGATAATTTTAATATGTATTTCAATAGAAGCAACAGTCAAAAACCAATAAAAACTTAAAGACAAATTAAACTTACTGACAAATAATTTTTTAATTCCTTTTGTTTAAATTATGTAGGAATTTTTTTTTTTTAATTTTAGACTGATTCCTGATTAGTCCGAAAATTATAAGAAAATAATCCCAAAATTATCCGTATTAGTCCGAACGGAAAGACAAATCCAAAATCAGTCCAAAATAGTCCGCAATTGACATGAAATCAAAATCCGCAATTAATCTGGAGCAATCTGAATTTAGTTAGATCAAAAAACTTAATCAGAAATAAGTCCGAAATAATCTGAAATTTTTATGTAAAAAATCCGGTATTAGTCCGCGCATTAATCCGGATTTAATCCTCGAAGCACATACAAGGCTTGTGTGACATTGCTCACAAGTTTAATCTTGAATAACTTTTACAAATTTTGAAAACTTGAACCCCAAATAATAGTTTTAGGTTCTAATAATACGTTAAAAATTTTCCCATTTATAAAAATTCAATTTCTTGTCAACTAGATATCGTCAAAAATGATAACCTACTCCGGTCAATTTAGTCAGGTCAAAAATCTTAGTTTAAAATCTGTATATGTACAAATTTCAATACAATACAATCTGTATTAGTCCGCAAGAATGATGATTTTGTGCATATGAATTCAGCATTTTTCTGAACTAATTTCGAATTTGGATGTTAGACCATATGGTCTAACTAGATTAATACCGGATTATTGCTGACTAATACGTGATTTTTCAATTAAAAAATTCCGGATTATTCTGGGCTCATTTCAGATTAAGTTTCTTGATCGAACTAAAATCAGATTATAGCGGAACTGATTTTACATAAGTTTGGGACTACTTCGGACTTATCTCACATTTGTCTTTTTGTTCGTCCTAATTTCGAATTATTTTATATCATTGACCTTCTTCTTCTCCACTTTGGTTAAAATTTCGGAATTTGGAATTAATTTGAAACAGTCCGGTCTATAGTCAGGTTTCTGTCATCTGGAATTTGTCCAGTTAAGTCCAAAATTAGTATTATTTCTATTACTACACGGAGAGAACTCTCTTACGAATATTGCACGACGGGCTGTTACTATTTTTCCAACAGAATATGTTTTGGAAATATCGCTTGAGACTGGAGTTATTTTTTCACGAATTTATGAGTTTATAGCAAAACGGTGCTGTGTGAAATATTAGTATAAGTCCACATACTAATTCTACAACAAGTGTATGCAAGAAACGCTCCAGAAACATGACGAAAATGCACAACGCCTTTCTTTGCTGCATTTGTTCGAAATCCATGAAAAATCAGCATGGATTTCTTGCAAATCGAGCTGAAACGTAACGCGCAGGCGTCGTGAATTTCGTCAATGAAAGAAATCGAAACGTATAGGAATAGAAATTCGTCGCGCACGCGCGTTACGTTTTTCCTCGATTTGCAAGAAATCCATGCTGATTTTTCATGGATTTCGAGCAAATGCAGCACACAGAGGTGTGGAACGTTTGTAGCAACAGTTGAGTGGAGAATTTGTACGTGACTTTTACTATTCGCGCACTGAAACTAGTATTGCACTTAACCCATGAATCTGACCTAAATTAGCAAGGCGCTTCTGTTACGAAAAGCGAATGGCACCAACTTGTGCGTTATTAGTAACAGAGTTCTCTCCGTGTAGTAAATTCGGAAATAATCTGATTTGACTTGATATCAATCTGATCATAGACGACTAATGATTACGAAATTACTCCTGTTGAATCCAAAATTAATCCGGCTTGTTTAAATAGTGAATCTGGAATCTGCATTCAGTTACGTTTGATCAGGGGGTCAATTACGTAACTTTTTCCAGATCCCACATCCCGTATTCCACTTTTCAAATTCCATATTCTGGATTGCACTTTACACATACCAGATTCCACTTCCAAAATTCCGGATTCCACATCCCACATTCTGAAAGTGAAATCCGGAATATGGAAAGTGGAATACGGAATGTTGAATATAGGATACGGAATTTTGAATGTTGAATCCGGAATGCGGAATACGGAATGTGAGAAGTGGAATCCGGAAAAAGTTACGTAATTGACCCCCAGACTGACATCGGATTAATTCCGAATTCACTAGTTACACAAAACGAGTAAATTTTGGACATAATCGCACTAATTCCGGAAGACAAAAACCTGATTGTTTCAGACTAATTACGAATTAGTTCGTAACCAGTCTGGAATTTTAACCAGGACCTTAATGTTACCAGCCTGGATCACTAATTAAATTAGTTTCCCGTTTTATTTTAAAAGCTAAAGAACTAAAAGTACTTTATCAGTAAAAGTCTTCTGCCTTTAAAATAAAGTGATCACTTAACTATATTTTATGCAAATAAATAGAAATTGATAAAAGAAATCGAATTTCCAGTTACTTAAAAAAAATGTATCCCTTCGAAAATGACCAGTTTCTGGAGAATCGCACATATATGGCACAACTTTTGATATACTACCTAGTAAAGATTTTTGTTAGTTTAGAATTAATAGAATATAGAATTTAGAAATTATAAAAGATAATTAATTTAAATTTAGAAATTAGAAATTTAGTAATTAACCAATTTCTAGATGATGGTTTTACTGTATAATGAATTTTATGACAAATTTTAAAAGAATAGAAAGAAAAAAAGTTATTGTGGTTAAATTAGCTGGTTAATTAAGCTAATTAAAATGAGTTTTTAAGTATTCCTAAAATATTTTTACGGCCTAAAAACACAAATTTTTAATAAGAATTAATAACAGGGGTTTGAGACAAAAGTTCTGAACGTTCAAATGAACGAATTTTTTTTTGCAACTTCTTTAATATGAATTTTATTACAAAATATTGTTTTAAATATATAAAAAAAAGTTATTAATTTAATAATTGTTTAATTTACTGTTTTATTTTACATTGCCATCATAATTTTTAATAATTTATACATTGAAAAAAATATTTCGTTCATTTGAACGTTTAGAACTTTTGGCTCATACAGTGGTATCAATTCAAAGCAGATTTCAGACTTAAAAATCGATACCTAAGATTAGTACTGTGCTATTTTTTGCTAGTTAGAACAGTGCTATCTTGAAGTGAAAGATAGCACTATTATATAACTATTATCAGAAGATTCTCATGTGGGTCTTTTACCCAAAATTAGCTCTGAATTGATATCCCTCATGACAATAATTAGACCTTCATTTAGATAGCAAAAATTGTCTAACTATAAATGTTGGGGTCATTGTAAATGACATTTTCACCAAACAATTTGAAACCTGTATCAAATTTTCTTCAAAAATAATAATCTGTTATTTTGTTGTACATAAGAAAAATTTTCAATATTCTTTTTTTATAGGCCACAGCTCTTGTTTGTGGACACAATGCATTGGGTCAGGTGGTCGGTAAATATTGTATGGAATTGGCAATCAATAAAGCAGAGAAATTTGGAATAGGATTAGTAACAGCCAATGGTTCCAATCACTATGGCATTTGTGGTTACTATACTAAAATGGCCATGAAGAGGAATATGATTGGTTTCACGTGTACCAACACTAGTCCCTTAATGGCACCAACACGAAGTGCTCGCGCTGGTTTGGGTACAAATCCCCTATCATTAGGAATGGCAGGTTCAAATAATGAAGAATTTGTCCTTGACATGGCAACAACTGCAGTAGCATTGGGAAAAATTGAATTGGCAATGAGAAAAGGTGATAAGATTCCCGATGGTTGGGCATTGGGCGCTGATGGTAAACCTACAACTGATCCACATGTTGCTTTTGATAATGCACTTCTTATGCCATTGGGAGGAACGGAGGAACACTCGGGATATAAGGGTTATGGTCTTGCAACAATGGTGGAAATTTTATGTGGCATTTTAAGTGGAAGTCAATTTGGACCGAATATTAGAGCGTGGAGAAAGAGTGAAAGAGCTGCCGATTTGGGACATTGTTTTATTGTCATTAATCCAGAAGTATTTTGCCCTGGCTCTAAGGATCGTTTGACACAACTTGTTGAACAATTGCGTCATCTTCCACAAGCTGGCGAGAAAGGGATAATGGTTGCTGGTGATCCGGAGAGAAATTCAATGGCAAAAGTCGATGCAAACGGTGGCATTATGTATCATGAAAATCAAATTAAGCATGCTGAGGAATTTGCTAAGGAAATTGGAGTTAAACCAATGAAACTGATTTCAAAAATGGGTACAAAGTGTTGATATTTTTAGATACTGTGTACAAGTAAAAGTCTATACAAAAAATTAAAGAGATCTATTTTTATTATATCTGACATAAATTATTATTTTTAATAAAATTTTTAATGATCTTTGTTATTTCGTGTATTTTAATGTTCTCGTAACTTGTTAAAATGAATTTTATTGAAGATGTATATTTATTAATTGTATATGTGTATTAAAATTTTATAGAATATATATTTTTCAGCGATTTGGGTGTTTATTATTTCACGTCTTCTTTCTTAAATCTTTATTGTTGTAACTCTCCTTTCTTTTCTAATCCTTTTTCTTGAATCTGCCGAACTTTTGGGGATTTTCATGCGTCTTGTAAAGCAGACGCAGTAAAATTTCTGCTGAACAGAAGTATTAGGTACCAGATTTTCTATTAGATACAACTTTGATTGGATAGAATTTTCATCCAACAGAAATACAATTCAACACAAATCTTACCTGGCAGAATTTTCCTTTGACAGATTATGAGTATAGCAGAACTTTCATTGGACAGAACCAAGAAATTGTTAAGTTTCTAATTTGCTTTTTAACAAAATGATTTTGTTCTGTTCAATGAAAGTTTTGCTACACTCATAATTTTGTTAAATTCAGATTCATATGTCAGGTGAGAATTCTGTTAAGAAGCATTTTTGTTGGATGAAAATTCTGTCCAATCAAAGTTCCGACAAACAGAAAATCTGTTACCTAATTCTGTTTAACGGAAATTCTGTCAAATGACATTTCTATTACCTCAATTTCTATCGAATGAAACTGTCAGGGTAACTTTTGGAGATTTTACTGCGTGTCATTAAAAGCATAAATAAATGTTAAATGATTGATATCCAATTTTAGGAAGAGATATGGTTTAGCAGAGGAAATTTTTTCATTTAGAATGTAATACTGTATTTTTTTTTATCGATTTTAAACAAATTTCAAACGAGGTAATCCAGCTTTGTTAGACACTTGAAAGACGAGAAGAAGAGACGCGAATATACAATGGATGACGTTACTTGGCAATATATTTACAATCAATGATTGAATTCAAAAGTAATCTAATATATAATTTGTCATCGACATAAACGAGGAGGCCTCACGTACGAGATTGCGTCTCTCTGTGATGTAACAACGAAATCTACTATTCGATCGTTATATATTAGTGAAGATGATGACCTTGGTTTTGCGCACGACAAATCTCGATTACGTTATATTGCCTCTCTGCTCTGGGCAATGGTATTCCCTACGTGCCGCGACTGCCACTTAGACGGAAGTGTAACGTCAAAGTTCACACTTTCATTTGTATATATATATATATATTGAATATACGGAATAAAACGTTTTGACAACTTGCAAATTAATTTCCATTACAACATCTATAATTACGGTTTAATTTTTTTTACGACTTAATTTGTTTTTGTTTTGTTTTTGCTAAAAAAAAATTATAAAATCAATTTTAAACGGTGGTAGAAATTACTATTTTATAATTATAATAATAATTAATTATGCTTTTAATTATTAATTATTAATGAAGAATGATTTTTTTTTGGTTTTATTTTCTAAATAAAATGATATTGGGTTACTGACCTGTATTTCTCTTTATATGAATTTTATGTAATATAACTGCAAATGAAGAATTATTGCAATTGTCATTGAAATTGACTCATTCTTTTCTTTCTCATTCAAAATGCAAAAATGTGGAAATTACTATAGACTTGACGTCAATTATTAATTACCTGGCAAGTATTATTACTATGAAAATGAGTGTTTTGTTTTCATTCTTTATAGTACTATTTAATATCTAAAATCACTCGAATTGAAAATATAGCGTTATGTCATTTGATTTTTCATTGAACGATTTTAATTTCATTAATAATAAATCAATTTTTTTTCGTTATTAATAATAAATAATTTATTAAGTGGGGAATAAATTATTAATAAATAAACAATTGCTATATTAATTAAGATATTTATGTGGTAATAATTATTTATAAATATAGTAACGATAAAAATCACCCTACATGTAATAATAATATAGTAATTTAGAATGTAATTAAACAAATTATGAAAAAAATAGATATTCTAGGAATATTTCCATTACTATATAAATATTATCGTAAAGAGATTTAAAAAAAAAATTAAATTCCCAATTTTTTAATATCTACTGTAAATGTTTAAACCTTCTGTTTAACGTTTACTGATTATTTTGTGATACTTTGCATTTAGTGCTGCCATATAACGACAAGGTTAAACACACTTTGTGTTCTACTTTATGTAAATTTCTTAGTTTTAAATTGGAACACATAAATTTATATACATTTGAGAATATCGAACTCAGTAAAATAAAATAAGAAATTAAAAATTCTTTATAGTTTACTTTTTCTTTATAATACATTTTTTCAAAACAATTTGAAAATTTCTTGCTTCTTTTTCAACGATTTACGAAAACATTTTTTTTTTCTAAAAATTATTAATTTTTTATCTCAATGATATCATTTGCAATATGTTTATTAATTTAAAAAATTGTATAAAATAAATAAAAAATAAATATATTTGTTTGTATCTTTGAAGTAAAATAATATGTAAATCGCGAATATAATTTTACATTTTATTGTAAAAGTTCAAAAAGTTATCGCTGTTTATAGACTGTTCGTCTCGTTAATATTGACCATCTGGTCAGAACTCTATTATATGTTTTATAATTTTTTGATGAAAATAATTTTATTCTTATTTTAAATAAGCAATTTAATAATAATAATAACAATAATTTATAATTAATTAATAATTTATAATTACTATTATATTATATTATCACAAACAGAAAGTAGTTTTAATATTCAAGAAGAAGTGTTAGGAAAAAAATCTGTAAGTCAAAGTAGCTGTGTGGTCTGCGTATACGACTCGCGTTCCAAGGGTCCTGGGTTCGATCCCCCATGCGTTATAAATTTTTCAAAATTATTCTTAAGTGTTTTATATTAAACGATGCATTGTTGACCACTCTCCCCCCTTTAAATATGTAATTTAAATAAATAAGAAATACTAAAATAAAATGAAATAGAAAAATTATATAGCACAGGAAACATGAGATAGAAAGGTGTGATTATGAAATAAAAAAAAAGAGAACAATAAACATTTGTGAGGAGTGTGAATAATATGATTAGTGAATCTAGAGAGGAAGAAAGCTTAATTGAACAAACGATCTGTCCAAAATGCAATCACTCTCCTTATATATATATGCATTAGAGGCAGTGTGTAATGCATCGTTATACATTAACTAATTTACTAAAGCTGATTCCACGTGGGGTCATGGAACCCATGGGGACGTCTGTGAATCTACTTCTGAGATTCTCCCAATGAAATTCATCAATATGTATAATGTCAACTTGGATTTTACTTTAATAATTTTGTTTTTTAATTAGAAATTTATAAAAATTAAATTAAAAAAAATTTTTATACGAAAAACATTTTTTTTTTTTAATTTACATAAACCAAATTTGCCTTTTCCTTAAAAATCACGTCGATGAAGTTTACAACGTTTATGATCAACGATTTAGTAGAAAAAATATTTTTCTATTCAAATTATTCTTGAATTTTGTATTTGAAAAATTAGAAAAAATATTTTTTTGTAAGATAATAGAAGAAATAAAAAAAAAATTATTGGTTTTCAATTTATAATTTCTAGAAATATTTTAGAATAGTTTTATTCTCTAGTTAAGTATTTCCAGGAATTAAATTTAAGTACCTATATTACAATATTAATTATTATTTACAAAAATATAAAAATTTCTTTCTTGTAAACAAATTTTTAATTTTTTTGAAATTTTATTTTAATTATTATAGTAGGTATATACCTACGGCAGTATATATAAACTTTCGTTTAAATTATTAAAAAAAATAAATAAATATCAAAGTTTTTCCTCAAAACTATTTTTTAAAATTTATATTTAATTGATTAATAATAAGTCGCCAATCACGAGATTTGTTTGAGGAAATTTTTTAACGTTTATAATTATAATTATATAGATGGTTTTTTTACTTCATTTTATCGAAGTTCTAAATTTCTCTATTTTTTTCATAAACTATTAGAGAATAAGGAAAAATTTGTTTTTTCCTTCTGCTTTCAAAATAAGTTGTATAATAAATTTTCTACATATTAATAAATAAATTATAATTTTAATTATAATAATTATATATAATTAATTAATTAATAATAATAATAATAATAATAATAATAATAATAATAATAATAATAATAATAATAATAATAATAATAATAATAATAATAATAATAATAATAATAATAATAATAATAATAATAATAATAATAATAATAATAATAATAATAATAATAATAATAATAATAATAATAATAATAATAATAATAATAATAATAATAATAATAATAATAATAATAATAATAATAATAATAATAATAATAATAATAATAATAATAATAATAATAATAATAATAATAATAATAATAATAATAATAATAATAATAATAATAATAATAATAATAATAATAATAATAATAATAATAATAATAATAATAATAATAATAATAATAATAATAATAATAATAATAATAATAATAATAATAATAATAATAATAATAATAATAATAATAATAATAATAATAATAATAATAATAATAATAATAATAATAATAATAATAATAATAATAATAATAATAATAATAATAATAATAATAATAATAATAATAATAATAATAATAATAATAATAATAATAATAATAATAATAATAATAATAATAATAATAATAATAATAATAATAATAATAATAATAATAATAATAATAATAATAATAATAATAATAATAATAATAATAATAATAATAATAATAATAATAATAATAATAATAATAATAATAATAATAATAATAATAATAATAATAATAATAATAATAATAATAATAATAATAATAATAATAATAATAATAATAATAATAATAATAATAATAATAATAATAATAATAATAATAATAATAATAATAATAATAATAATAATAATAATAATAATAATAATAATAATAATAATAATAATAATAATAATAATAATAATAATAATAATAATAATAATAATAATAATACTAATAATAATAATAATATAATAATAATAATAATAATATAATAATAATAATATAATAATATAATAATAATATATAATTAATTATATATAATTAATTATATAATATAGTATAATATA